TTTTAGCTGATAACATTTGAATTTTAATACTTACATCTATTTAAATTCATGTGAGCTTTATTTCTTTGGATAAGCCATGTGTTTAAAAGTATAGGCTTTCTGTGTATTGCAAGAAAAGTTACGTTGATGGTATTTTTTTCAGTTTTCTATGCCTTTTTCTCAGTAGCGTGTACATGTAATTATTTTATATAAAGTGTTAAAAGTTAAATCTGGACAGTAGAAGGTTTTGATGTAAGAGTAGCTCATTTTCACCTTTATATACCCAGTGGCTCAATGGCCAATTAAGTCACTTAGGAGAATACGATTAATGAAAATCTTTGGAAGTCAGCTGAGGGCAGGACCTAATTTGTTAGCGCTTTAAAACTTGTTGACTGCCGTCAGAGTAGGCGGCAATGAAATAAAGTCAAAAGGAACGCTAAGGTTTTATACATTTAATTGTGTAATAATTCTTTACAAATTTTACGAATACTGCTTAGTGGTTACTTTTTAAAAATATATTGTACAAAAAAATATTTGAAATGAATTGAAAATATTTTCACACAGTTTAAATAATACAGACACGTGTCATCAGGATGGCAACACCATCCCAATTTATTTAAGCATAATCTTTTGCTGTTACAAATGTTAACTGAAAGGCCTCCCCCTTCCCCACATGCACTTTTTGTTGCACTATTGTCATGTCCTCCCCAAATAAATGTGTTTTTCGAAAAAGTCAGAAAGTTTACATCTTCCCTTCTCATCCACGAAATTTGGACACCCTCCTTTTTTTCTAGTCAAAGATTGTTCAGGAAAGTTACGTTCAATCTAATTCAGTAAAATTTGATCTTAGAACAGCTTCAACTAGATCGCTTGACACCCCCACCCCCACGTTTCTCCTGCCTATAATAGCTGAAAACAAATGTTACATTCCACTGTTTACTCTGTGACATTAATGAAGCCAAAGAGATGACATTTCAGGCTTTCTAGAAAGCCAAACTTGTCTTTATGCATGTCATACTTTCAACAACAGCCTTTCAGAGACCATTCACGTCCAACTTGCCCTTCATTGATTGATTGATTGATTATTATTGTTTTACGCCGAGTCGGCAATATTTCAGCCATATTTCGGCGGTAGGAATTTAAATATAGGAACGGTTTTGGAAGTTTTGGGTTTCTTTGGCGGCCCCCAATGAGCCTACTCTTTTTCGAAAACCAGAGAAACGATCTTTAGCGTGTCAAGGGGGTTGCAATCCTTGACACGGGGCACCATTTAACGTCCCATCCGACGGACATGAAATTTAAAAATAAAATGAAAAGTTAAATTGAAAATTACAAAAATACTAATAAAAAATATGTACATTAAATCTTGTTGTAAAAATCAGTTTCTTGTAAGCATTGTATAATTGTACAAGGATTAATGTTTGTAAAAAGATCCTGCATTGTTCGCACATTATTAAATAGTCTCTTTCGTATAGGCGAAAAATCAGAACATTCCAAAAGAATATGGTGTATAGTTATTGCACATTCGCAAGATACACATTCAGGTTGATTTTCTTTGTCTAGAAGATATGAATGGGTAAATCTTGAATGTCCGATTCGTATTCTTGAAATAATGACTTCGTCCTGACGTTTCAGGCCGAAATCAGATGATTGATTAACTTTGTTTTGTATTGCATACAATTTATTATTATCACAAAAATCCCAAAATATCTGCCAAAGAGAATTTACATAAAGTTTGACTAAATACTTTAGATCGGTGTAAGGAATTTTAAAAGAAACGATTTCATATTGAAGAGCAGCTTTTGCAGAACTATCGGCCTTGTTATTACCCGGAATACCAATATGACTCGGAATCCAACAAAATTCAATTTCTTTACCTTGTTGAGTCAGATGATAGAACTTAGTCAATATATCCAAAATGTATGGGTGATCTGTGTTCATATTGTGTATGGACTCTAAGCATGAGAGCGAGTCTGAAAATATTGTAAACGATTTTTCACTAGAAGTTGTCATATATTCAAAAGCTAGTTGTATAGCTTTTGCTTCGGCCGTAAAAATTGTTGCTTCGTTCGGAAGTCGAATAGAAAACACATCATTTTTGACCACTGCAGCGGCAGCAACCCTACCTCTGTCCTTAGAACCATCTGTGTAAATTTCTGTTGTAGGATGTTTAGATTTTATTTCAGCTAATTTCTGTTGAAAAATGAGGGGATTTGTTTCTGATTTCTTTAGTTCGGATAAGGATTTGTTAACTACTGGTTTAATTAATTTCCATGGTGGTATTTCAGAAAGAGTAGTAGGTTTGACAATATCCAATGGTAGTTCAGAATCTCTAATACGATTTTTAAATCGAAAACAAAGTGGTTTTATGCATTTCTTGTTTTTATCAAATAAATGTGCATTTTGTGGATGAAAAACACAGTCATGAGCAGGATTATCGGTGTTTGCTTTTAATTTAATTATATACTGTAAAGCAAGTTTAATTCTTCTTAAATCTAGAGGTGGTTCATTTGCCTCTACATATAAACTATCTTTAGGAGATGTCCGAAAAGCCCCCAAGCACAATCTAAGACCTTGATGATGGATTGCGTCGAGAGCTTTTATATAGGAAGTCCTAGCTGATCCATACACAATACACCCATAGTCTAGTTTCGATCTTACTAAAGAGCGATACAGTTTAAGTAGGGTACTTTTATCAGCTCCCCATTTCGTGTTTGCTATAACTTTAATAATATCTAGTGCCTTTAAGCATTTTTCCTTAAGCATCTTTATATGTGGAATAAAAGAGTTTATTATCAAAGATGACACCTAAAAACTTTATTTCTTTAACTACTTTTATTGGATTTCCATTTAATTGCAAATTTGGATCATCATGGGTTTTCCGTTTTAAACAAAAATGCACACACTCCGTTTTACTCATTGAAAATTTAAAACCATTATTATCGGCCCAATTTTGAATTTTGTTTAGACATGATTGTAACCGCCGCTCAATAAAATTCATATTTTTGGACTTATAATACAGAACAAAGTCATCAACATATAAACTACCATGCATATCATTTTTAAGTACTTCAGCCAAACTATTTATTTTAATGCTAAACAATGTGACTGAAAGAATACTTCCTTGTGGTGCACCCATTTCTTGTTCAAAATTGTCTGAAACTGTAGAACCTAATCGCACTTTAAAAAGTCCTTAATAAAATTAGGTAAATTTCCTTTGAGACCAATATTGTAAAGATCTTTTAAAATACCATATTTCCATGTAGTATCGTACGCTTTTTCTAAGTCAAAAAATATAGATACAGCATGCTCTTTTTTAACAAAAGCATCTCTAATAAAGGTCTCCAGTCTTACTAACTGGTCAATAGTACTTCGGTTTTTTCTAAAACCACATTGTATATTTGTAAGAATGTTATTGGTTTCAAGAAACCATATTAATCGTTCATTGATCATCCGTTCCATGGTTTTACATAAGCAACTTGTTAACGCAATTGGTCGATAATTATTAGGGTTTGCATGGTCCTTTCCAGGTTTTGGAATAGGAATAATTGTGGCTTGAGTCCAGGAAGGTGGAAAATCCCCTCGTTTCCAGATAATATTAAAAATTTGCAGAAGACACTCTCTACTCTCTCTAGGAAGATGTTTAATTAATTGATAGTGGATATGATCCGGTCCTACAGCTGTGTCGTGAGATTTATCTAGAGATTTTTGCAACTCTTCAAAAGTAAATGGTTCATTATAACATTCTTTGTTTTCGGATGTAAAATCTAATGTTTTCTTTTCTTGAGTATTTTTGTATGTTATAAAACTAGGACTCATGTTGTTTGTCGAGGAATTCTGGGAGATTGCATTGGCTATTTCATTAGATATTTCTTTCTTATCAGTAATAATTTGATTTCCAATACTAAGATGTTGATATTTTTCAGGACTTTTTCCTTTTATTTTTCTTATTGCGTTCCAAACTTTATTTATGGGGGTATGTGAATTTAGATTTGAAACAAACTTTTTCCAAGATTTTCTTTTGCTAAAATTAATAGTTCTGCGAGCTTTTGCTCTAAATACACGAAAATTGTTTAAGTTTGATGATGTAGGTAATCTATTAAATTATCTTTCTGCTTTTTTGCGAGCTTTTATCGCTTCATTGCATTCTTCTGTAAACCATGGTTTTTTCGTTCTAGTAGAATTTGTCGAGGTTTTAGGTATACATTCGTTTGCGATATTTAATAGTATTTCATTAAAATTTTGAATAGGATCAGGATGGTTTTCAAATTTTTCAACAGAAATATTTTGTAAGCATAAGTATTCAAATTTATTCCAGTCAGCCTTGTTTAATTTCCAGTTTTGAACATTGTTGTTTTCGGAGGGTTTATGTACTTTAAGAATAATTGGGAAATGATCACTCCCGCATAAATCATCATGCACTGACCAACTTAGATCTAGGAGTAAAGAAGGATCTACTAAACTGATATCTATTGAAGAATATGAACCATTACCCGGATGCAAGTAGGTGTTTGAACCGTCATTAAGTATACAAAGATTATGATGCGATATTGCATCTTCAATTATTTTCCCTTTATCTGTGATTTTATCGCTACCCCATAGCGGATTATGGGCATTAAAGTCACCGACAATCAGAAATGGAGCAGGGAGTTGTTTTATTAATTTTGTGAGGTCTAAAAGTTGTAATTGATAATGTGGGGGTACATATACAGAACAAAGGGTAATTGTTTTATCAAGGGAAAGGCGTACAGCTACTGCCTGAAGATTAGTTTTCAAACTTATTTGGCTGTGAATGTATTTATTGTTAATTGCTATAGAAGTACCACCAGATGCTCTATCAGTTTGAGCATAATGGTTATACATACTATAGTTTTTAATATTGATCTTATCTGTTTCTTTCAAATGTGTTTCTTGTAAACATAAAGCTACCGGGCAATGGTCCTGAATAAGTAATGATAATTCGTTAAAAATAACCCTAAAACCTCGACAATTCCATTGTATGAATGTAGGATGATTCATTTCTATTTCTTATGATGGGAAATGGGGGAAATCCTCCCTTTATTTTTATTGGGCGATTCACTTCGGACTCGCGAGGAAGAATGGCATGGTGTAACGTCCATTTCCTCAAAGACCCCATATTTATTATGCAGAGCGACGGGATCTTTTGCTGCTTTCGGTAATCGATCACTCGACTGCTTCTTAGTGTTTTTAGAGGGAGATCTATTCTGTCTCCCAGATGATTTTGATATACCCGCAGCTGTTGACTTTGATGCAGTCGTAGCCACAGGGTTTGGTGCAGCCACAGCTGCAGGTCCTGCAGAAGCAGGTGTCGAAACAGATTTAGCTTTGTCATTTGATGACGTAGACATCTTAGATGTTAAGGTTTGCTTAAGAATATCATTCTCAGAAACCTGAGTAGAAACGTCCTTCATTGAGGACGATTTTAAAACAGTTGCATATGATGTTAAATTTGGTCTAGGAACACTGTACATGTTGACTAGCTTCTTTGCTTCTGGGTACGGTATTCTTTTCTCAGATTTTACTTTTTGAATTTCTTTTTCTTTTTTCCATAAAGGACATTGTTTTGAAGAAGCCATATGGTTACCTTTACAGTTCTTGCATTTAGGTTCCTTTTGACAACCTTTGCCGTCATGGCCCTCGTCACCACACCTGAAACATGTTTTTGTGCCTTTGCAATTAGTTTGTCCATGCCCAAATCGCTGGCATTTGAAACACCGAAGCGGATTTGGGATGAACAGTTCAACTTTCATTTGGTACAACCCAACTTTGATGTTCGTAGGGAGGGTTGGCATTCCAAAGGTAAGAAGGTAAGTATTTGTAGGTTCAATGTTATCGTTACGTTTTTTGGTGAACCGTTTCACAGAGACCACATCCTGGGACTCCAATTCAGATTGGATTTCCTGTTCAGGAATATCATCCATGTCATGGTCTCTGTCAAATAGAATACCTTTACTTTGGTTGAGTCCACTGTGAACTTTTGCAAGTACAGGTATATCTGCAAGTTTTTTTAGTGCCAACAAGGATGTTGAATGCTGTTTTTTGGCTACTTCAATGAGAAGAGCACCTGTTTTCATCTTTTTAACCGACTTTGGTGTACCAATAACCCTCTGTATACCTTTTTGTATTATAAAAGGCGATACTTTTGTCAAAGGCTTTGTATGTTGATCTGAAATCTGTGCTTCAAATATGATGAAGCGGGGCCAGTGTTGCACAACAGAATTATTTTGTTCATCATTAAAAGATATTTCAAAACCTGATGGGTAACAACGTTTTTTTGAAAGAGCCATAGTTAGTTGAGAAAAGTTTCAGAGTCCTTGCTCCCCGCCCGCCTCGGAGCGCCAACAAGGGCGATATCTAGTCAAACGGACATCCAGTAAGACTGATACCAAGAGGATACAAAGAAACTATACTCAGACAGAATATGCCTGATTAACCCTAAGCCACCGCTTGATATATATATATATATATATCAACATGGAAACGTCGGTGTATTGGAACATTGCAAAACGAAGAAGAAATATAATTATAGAAATTGCAAAACATCAATACTAAGGCATGCAGATATTATCAGCTCGGCATGACTAGCCGATTGATCAAGTCGGGCCAAACTTGACCTCCCGTCTAGATGAACATGGGGCCAAAGTGGAGTGTTGGTCATGTCAGGTGCGTTACACCCAGCACCTGCAGACCTCAGCCACCAGGATCCCCTTCTCCACCAACACGGGTCGCAACCCACGGCCAACAGGTTGCCCCATTTAGTCGCCTTTTACGACATGCAAGGGGGTGCCGGGGACCTATTCTTTTCACCCCGGGTCCCCACAGGGGTGCCCTTCATTGATAAACATATATTATTTCCGCAATGATGGTTTGCACTGAAAGTACAGAATGAAACAGGTGCGTTTTTTTTTTAAATATGCATTTTTTTTTTAATTTTCCTAAAAAATATATTTTTTTTATTATTTGTTTCCAAATGATACTTCCAATCTGTTAACCAATGATATATTTATAAACTGTAAAAGGTTTGACTTTATACCTCACAAAGTTTTGGAGCTATTGTAAAAATAAATTTTTGGACATGTTGACCTTTGACAAAACCTTAACAAAGGGATGCAAGCTGTAAGAAAACCGTAAACTTAAAAAGGCCACGTCACAAAGTGATGAGGTATTTCAATTATGCCACAATTTAAACATAAAGATTTATTTATTTGTCAGAAATAGGATGTGTTATTATATAAAAGGAAATGGTACAATCAAATAACTTCTTGCAAGCATTTCTCTCTTATATTTGAAGAAGCAGGATGTGAATTGCCAACAATAAGTTGAAGAGGATGTGTTTGTGAGTAATGATTATAAAGTATACGGTCTGCCTGTTCTGATTTACATTGAATTAAATTTAATCAAAAGTAGGCTAAAGATCCATCTACAATTGTGTATTGACCAGATTAAGACCTTTTTGGTCGAGAATTTGAAAAATTATCACAATGAAAAAATACAATCAAGTGTATTTATTGAAAATGAGCTACACTAGGAAGCAGCCTTGTAAAACAGAATGCGAACTTGATAAAGTAAAATCTTATGCAGGAAATTGTTCATGCTGCGACATATGTCAGAACTATTTATGCGGGGATTGATCTCAACTGCGATTGGAGAATTTGATTTTAGGGAGTCGTGTAACTTTTCCCGATGATCATGAACTTACAGAAGATTCTGATTCTGGAGAATAATTTTTCTTGACATAGGGATAACAAGAATTCTGTGAGCCAATGCTCACTAATTATGCCCCAGCTGAGAGTGTAGATGAAACGGCAAAGAAAACATGTAAAAAAAAAAAAAAAAGAACTTACGAGTTAACATGGTGATATAAAAAAGCATGTTACCTAACTAGAATTACAGTGCGCGAACTACTTGAATTTTTAAACGATACCATTCTGACTACAGTAATCAATCAAGTCTCACGATCCTCAAAATCCAGCCGCAGTTTGTCGTCGATCGAACCAAGAAGCGAGGTTTTATCTGAGTTTTTATCGACTTTCCGCCAAGTCTGTACCTTCCTAGGAAATAAGTGAAATTAGATAGAGAGGACTTTCAACGATATGCTGTTTGTTCATCTTGTCAAACTCTGCATGAAATTTGTGACTGTTTCTGAAAGAAATGGTGTCAGGTGTGGAAACAAGGATGCGATAAGTGCTTAAAGATTTCTCCTGGAATTCTTACATAAGCTCTTCATACATGTAAATTTCAATGGACTTCTTTCAAAACTTCTTTGAATACCAGCTCTCCGACTAGATATCACTGAGATGGTGGCCATCTCAAAGGGTCCCGCTTTCAGCAATGAACATGAAAATGTAAGGTAGCTGAAAAGGGTTTATTTTGAAAAGGAACATTTGTGTAATATTAAGGGATGTGTTGTTTGAGTCTACAGGGCTTCTATGTTATCCTTGTTATAATAAAAAAAATGGCACGAAAATCACGAGTACTCCATACCCTCTATAAAAAAAAACGGCACAAAAATCACGAATGATGCATATCCTCTATGAAATTGCTGCATATCCTCTATCAGAAATATGGATTGATTGATTGATTTAATATTGTTTAACGCCGAGTCGGCAATCTTTCAGTCATATTTCGGCGGTATAATCAGTTTAATCGGTTTTTGAAAGGTTTGGGTTTCTCTGGCGGCCCCCAATGAGCCTACTCTTTATCGAAAACCAGAGAAACGATCTTTTGCGTGCCAAAGGGGTTGTAATCCTTGACTCGGGGCACAATTTTACGTCCCATCCGACGGACTTAAAAGTCTAAAATATCTAAACAATTAAAATATATATTTCTCCAAGTACTTCTCAACAAAAATGCTAAAATTGTTAACTTCTGAATTTTACTGTACAAATCAGTTTCATGTAAGTATTCTAAAATTATACCAACATTAACATTTGTAAAAAGTTCATACATCGTTCGTACATTTTTAAAAAGTATATTTAGAATAGGCGAAAAATCTGTACATTCTAAAAGAATATGATTCACAGTTAGCGGACAGTCACAGGATATACATTCTGGCTGAAACTCTCGATTCAGTAAGTATGCATGCGTTATTTTTGAATGACCAATAGGTATTCCGGAAATGATCACTTCCGTCTTGACGTTTCAGGTCGAAGTCAAATGATCTGTTCACTTTGTTTTCTATAGCATAAAGCTTACTTTCATCACAAAATTCCCAGTAAATTTGCCAAAGATAATTTACATAAAGTTTAACAAGATATTTCAAATCAGTGTAAGGTATTTTTGGTGAAGTGCTGTTTTTGCAGCACTATCAGCCTTAGTGTTTCCAGGGATGCCATTATGACTTGGAATCCAACAAAAGTCAACTGTTTTACCTTGTTTAGTAAAATGATAATATTGAATTAATATATCCGAAATGTATGGTTGATCAATGTTCGTATTTTGTATAGATTTTAAGCAAGAGAGCGAGTCCGAAAATATTGTAAATGTTTTGTCATTAGAAGATTTAATATATTCAAATGCAAGTTGTATGGCCTTTGCCTCTGCTGTAAAAATTGTCGCTTCGTTTGGAAGCCGAGAAGAAAAAACATTCTTAATCACTGCAGCCGCTGCTACTCCATGTTTGTCCTTTGAACCATCTGTATAAATCTCAACTGTAGAATTCTTAAAATGTTTCATTTCGGCTAATTTCTGTTTAAAAATAAGAGAATTTGTTTCTGACTTCTTAAATTCTGTTAAGGATGTATCTACTTTTGGTTTAATTAATTTCCATGGTTTTATTTTAGAGAAATTTGTGGGTTGAATAATGTCCAAAGGTAGGTCAGAATCCCTGATATGTTTTCTAGATCTTAGACCAATGGGTTTTATACATTTTTTACTTTTATGGTACAAGTTTTCGTATTGCGAACGAAAACACAATCATACGCAGGGTTCTCAGTATTTGCTTTTAGTTTCAGAATATATTGTAAGGTTAGTTTGATTCTTCTTAAGTCGAGAGGTGGCTCGTTTGCTTCGACGTATAAACTATCTATAGGAGAAGTTTGAAAAGCTCCTAAACACAGTCGAAGGCCTTGATGATGGATTGCATCAAGAGCTTCTAAGTGTGAAGTTCTTGCAGAGTCATACACAATACAGCCATAGTCTAACTTAGATCTGACTAAAGAGCGATAAAGATTTAAAAGAGTATTTTTATCTGCCCCCCCCCCCCCAATCTGGTACTTGAAATATCTTTGAGAACGTTAAGCCTTGGTACATTTCTCTTTGTGATACACAAGAGCGTTTACTATCAGAGATAATGCATAAAAACTTTATCTCTTTAACAACTTTTATAGGATTACCATCTAGCTGCAAATGTGGGTCATCATGGGCTTTCCGTTTGGTGCAAAAATGCACGGAAGCGGTTTTACTTTTCGAAAACTTAAACCCGTTTATATCAGCCCAAGTTTGAATTTTGTTTAGACAAAACTGTAATTTTCGCTCTACATAATTAATATTTTTTGGATTTATAACAAAGGACAAAATCATCGACGTAGAAACTACCATACATATCATTTTAAAGTCATTCTGCTAAGCTGTTAATTTTTATACTGAATAAAGTGACTGATAAAATACTACCTTGTGGGACGCCAATTCCCTGATCAAAACTTTCCGAATATGTAGACCCCAAGCGTACTTTAAAATGTCTATCATTCAAACAATTCTTGATAAAATTGCTAAGTGTCCTTTAAGGCCCATATTATAAGGAATCAAATGCTTTTTCTAAATTAAAAAATACAGATACGACATGCTCTTTTTTAATAAAGGCATCTCGAATATACGTTTCCGGTCTTACTTAGTGGTCAATAGTACTTCGGTTTTTTCTAAAATTAGTATATTAGATAAAATGTTATTAGTTTCAAGAAACCATATTAAGCGTTCATTAATCATCCTTTCCATGGTTTTACATCAGCAGCTTGTTAAAGCAATTGGACGGTAATTATTAGGATCTTTATGGTCCTTTCCCGGTTTAGGGATAGGAATAATTGTAGCTTGGGTCCAGGAAGGTGGAAAATGACCTCGCTTCCAGATCTTATTAAAA